TTCAGTTGATGGGCACCTTCATTTCCCACTCTTTGTCACTATAGTAAGTTGATATAAATATTTTTATACTTATGGATATAGATATGAATTTTCCTCTTTCTTTGATTTCTTTGGGATATAGGCCTACTATTAGCATCACTGGGTCAGAGGGTATGTATGAACAGTTGAGTAACTTTTTAGTCATAGTTTCACATTGCTTTCTAGAATGGCTGGTCCAAGTCATAGCTCCACCAACAGTGCATTAGCGTGCCCATTTTTCCTATAATCCCTCTAACATTTATCTAACTTTTTGCCAATTTTGCCAGTCTGATAATTGTGAGGTAATCTTTCACATTTAAAGTTGTGGGAGTGAAGTTTATATTTTCTCCATTTGTGTCTCTAGAATTGCTTATTTTCTAAATTGGGATTACTTTTTTGTTCCTCCTTCTCTTTTGAGATAGTATTTTATTGCTACAATTATTTTTTAATTTACCTTAAGATGTTTATTCAAATAGTCTCTCTTCCCTTTGTTGACTTGATTCACCTTCAAAACTTAACCTCTTCCCATTGGGCACCTTTTCTTGTAATTTAGGAGTTTACCTTAATTTATTGATTCCTTTTTTTTCTTCTTTTCACTTAGTTTTCTGATTTTCTCCTATTTTTCCTTCATTTTAATCTAAGCAGTCAATTGGAAATCATCCCTCTCTCTAACTTCTTTAGTTTTTTTTTCATTTTCTTCACCTTTTTCTTTTTTTGTTCACCTTTTTCTAAGAATTATTTCTTTACCTTGTTCCCTTCATTAATTCTCTTCCCTTTCTGTCCATTTTAAACTTTTATTCTTTGATATCTGGTCATATTTATCTATCCCTTCTTTAGTCTTTTTTATGTTCCTTATAGAATTAAAGCTTATAATGGACTAAATTTGATTTCCCTCTTCCAACAATTTCTAGGCTATGGTATAGAAATCTCCTTTATTTCTGTTGTGCTTCGTGCATAGAAATTTCTATTCCTGTAGGAGGTAGAAATGGTAGAAATATCTCTGTGTCCAATTCAAGCCCCTTACCTCCCCATGATCATTTTCTTCCTGATTTGCCCAAAATCTTGCCTCTGGGTCTTTGCCTTTCACCCTACTGAAAACTGGTTGCTCCCCAATTATTCCAATTTCCCTTCTCTTCAGGTAGGCATTGTACATGGAGGCAGAACACTCTCTCAGAGGAAGTGGTCTCCCTGTGCCTCATCTTCTATTACAGAATGTCTTTCTTCCCACATGGAAATGTTCTTCATTGAGACCCCATCCCACAACTGAATTTGGGGTCTCCCCTTTTCTATCCTCTGTTTGTGATTTCCCCCCTTTCTCCTGCATGCCTGCTTGCTGGGAATATAATAGAGCTATTTTCCCTTCATTGTTTACTATTAACTTGATTAGGGTACATCACAATCCCCCTAAATTTTCCACCTTTATTTTCCCCTTTTATACCCCTTTCCAGGTTAGTCCCATAAAATATACTGATTCACTTGTAGATGGGGTTGTGAAGTTTAGTCCATGGTGTCTCAGGCTTGTTTCTCCACCATCCCTTCTTCTATTTCTTTAAGTTCCACTTTCATCTTTATGCATTTCTATACTTTTAGGAAGAAATCTTTTAATGGTCCTTCTGCTATTTTTTTTTTATTTAAACACCACAATTATCTTTAACTTTCTAGTTCTTTTTTCTCAAGAAATAGCATGATTATTTTGTTACTTGTGCTTTCCTTGATGATTGAATTTATTTACCTTTCTTATGTTGGGGTATTTGAAAGCTGAATGATCTGCTCACACTTGTTTTTTAAATTTGGGGTTGCATCTTGAGCTCCTTTGCTTCTGGGGACATATTATTTCATTCCCTTCAGTGATTTCTGGCAGGTCCAGAATAATCTTATGTTCTTTGAATTTCTTTTTACCTATATTTGAAGGTCCTTCTCCTGGTCATCTGCAGAATTTTTGTCATTGGAATTAAATTTAACCACTGTGTAGTCTTGGAGTTTGAAGCAAAGGGATTTTTTCTTTGAGATAATTTGTGAATTCTTTCAATTAGTACTTTGTCTTCTGAATTCAGAAGTTCTGGAAAGTTTCTTTGTATTGTTTCTTGCTTCATGGTGTTCAGATTTTTTGACTTGTCATGTTTTTCTAGAAAGCCTATGGTCCTTAAATTGTGTTTATATATTCAGTCTTCTATGTCAATGTTTAGCTTATATAGAGATGATGTGTTCTTTTAATGTCATTTCTTTTTGCTTCTTTTCTTCCAGATTTTCCTTCACATTGATGCATTTGTGTCACTATCTAATTGATCTTCTGCTTCTTTGGAGAGACTTGCCACCACACATTCAAGTTTTTCTATTTCTATTCTATTTTCTATTCAGTTTATTATTTCAGCTTATTATTATTATAAATTCTACCCTTTATTCCCTTTAAACTTCTTTCAAGATTATGATTTTTCTTTTAAACAACTGAGGAACATCCTTCTGTAGTTCCATGCTATAGTTCCAATCCATGAGGTTCTCTGTTTCATTAGGCATTGGTATACTTTCCTTTGTCTTATGATATTTATTCAGTGTTTACTAAGTGTTTACAACCCTTTGCATGGCTTGGTCATCTTTCCTTCTGTTTTAATATCTTCCCTGTTGATTTACCTGGGTCTAATCTAGGTTTTTAACTGAGTCTTCTTTTTCCTGAGATTTTTGGTGGTTTTAGTTTTTTTTTTCTTTAGATTCCCCTATGGTTCGTGTTGGGGAATTCACTTTTTAATGTCTTCAGTCCCTGTTGAAAATAAATTCTTGGGGCAGCTAGGTGGCACAGTGGACAGAGCACCGGCCCTGAATTCAGGAGGACCTGAGCTCAAATCTGGCCTCAGACCAAACACTTGACACTTACTAGCTGTGTGACCCTGGGCAAGTCACTTAACCCCAATTGCCTGATAACAAAAAACAAAAAACAAAACAACAACAAAAAAAGAAAATAAGTTCTTGAGGGAAATAACTGAATCCAATTGAATGCCAGTCCCCCTTTTCTTTAGGCCCTGTATAGCCGTGCACAACACTTCTTTCCTACTGCAGTTTCCTCAATTCATTAGTTCTCTGTCTGAGAGTGGCAGCCGCAGAGAGGGAATCTATCACTCAAATTCCTACTGCAACTTTTTAGGTAGATAGACAGAGTTGAAGTCCACTGTTTGTTGCCACAGAGTGTTAGGATGAGAGCAGAGTCAGGTTGTGCTGGCAGAAACTGTGGCTGTAGCACGGCTATTGTTGAGTGGGTCCCAGAACACAAGTCAATTGTTGGATTGTATACCCCGCTGGAGTGTGGGGAATATTGGGAGGCAGAGGTTGTTGGCAGTGCATTATCACATTGAGGATCAGGCACTTTGTTCATTCATATGGCTATTACCTTTTTAGCCTTCTTGGGAGTCTTGAGCTGAGGAAACAGTTGTAATTACTCTACTGATGGAGAATAATTTCAATGTGGGGAGATTTTGATAGTTAGCAGAGACTATCAAAAGTGTCTAGTTCCCTATCTCATTTGTCATGTGATCCAGAAGTGTAGTAAAATAATTTTTTGATGGAAAATATACTACAAAAATATAAGCTTTTATGCAAATATATAAGGTAGATGTAACTATGTGATACTGAGGTTTTTGAAGGTCTCAACTTTAAATTAGAAAAGAAATCCATTAGTATATAGCTTTAAGATAAGGAATTAAACTCCCAGCAAACAATATACATCTGAGTAAACTAATTAAGAGAAAAGATCATTTTTTCCACCGCAGCAGCATATTTATTGTGCATAAATCAAGTGGCAGAGAATGAGGAGCTCAGAGGAACCAGTACAGATTGTTTATACAGATGACAAATCTATCATTATTACAGAACTAAGAAGCAAAAACAAACTGGGGTTAATCCTATCAGACCATAACATTATGGATCTGTAGCAAGTATCTTACAGTTCTTAAAATTGCAAATGCATTAAGAAAAAAAACACTGAAATGCCTAATTTTAATGCACAATAAATATTTTGTGGTTTACAAAATTTTAAAAAATATTGTCTGCCACAGTCATACAGTATATGTCCTGCACATGCAGTTTTTACATGTCAATAAAATGTTTAGAATCTTGTTCGTGCTTTTGTGTCAAGCATTACAGTTTTCCACTTTTTAATAGAATTATGTCCAATGCTTCCCTAACAAATTAATTTGTGTAATATGTATATATTTTTTAAATGTCTGGACCTGTGATTTCTTCAGTATTGGGAACTCCCAGTAGGGAACCTCCCAGTGAGGTAAATTCCTCTACAGATACCTCATTTATAATTTGTAGTCTTTGAAGAGTTGACTGGGGTACTTAGAAGTCTTGAAGAAGACTTGAACACAGGTCTTTCTAACTTCAAGGCCAGCCTTCCATCCACTACACCATAGTGCTTCACAAGTAATATGTATAAACAGTACATATTCTCTTCCCTACTGAATTGGTCACATATTATGTAAGTATTGCATTTCAATGGCAATTGTAGTTTTATAGTTCTGTCCTTGTCTATTACCTTATGACATTAAGCATTGTGAATTTCATGCTTTCAGCACCAAGGAGTCAAGAATATTGCACTAGAATGGGATTGTACTACATGTTATTAATAAATAATATCTGAACTTAATCACAACAAAATTATCACTATAAAACTAAATTTGTATTTAAATGGAAAGAATGACTTTATAGAAAAACCTGAGTATACACTATTCACAAAACTAAGAAAGAGTAGTGGGTTTTGGAGTTAATATGACTAACATTACATTGGAAGACTCCTTGTGTATGTGGTTTTTTTTAATTAAAATTTATTTAATTTTAAATGTTCTTTTCAACAGAAGAGGTAGGCATATATGAAATCTGTAACAGACACTAAAATCAAAACAAGGAAAGCCTGATAAAATCAACATACTCTTTTCTAACAGCACATAGATGTAACTGCTGATATTGCTAATAAAGACAAGAGACGTTTCACGTTCTGATCAGACAATAATTATAATTTTTCATAATACATTTCTGACAGAAATAGAAATATTCAAAGGCTACCTTTTGCTCACAAAAATTTGTTTCCCCACAATCATTTGCATCACTGGTTATTCCAATAACCTTTGGACTGCTAAAACATATTTTATGCAATGTTTTCTTACATTTACCAACACCAGACTTCACCAAATACTTAAGAGTTTAGAGTCATTACCAGATTTTAAATACCTAATTACAACAAAAAATGGCATATTCAGACCACTTTAGCATGTAAATTGAAATCCAAAATACTTAAGATCATTTATATTACCATTATGCTTCAACCCAGAAAATGGAAAGGGCATGTAGCTGGTAATTTAGATTAAAGGGTTGTTAGTGAGGGCACATATGTATACTAATGTCCTCATTAAACATAGTCACTTTGTGATATGGCTCATCTAGTTGGTTCAAAAACCAACTTTAGAAGAACTTGCACATATGCACAAAAAGATTTATGAAAACTCCATTATATTTTGCTAGTATTCTACTAGCAAGAGTTCTTCTACGAAGAACCTTGTGGCCTGAAAGGGAATCTTCCAAATAACAGGATGATCCTTTAGTCTGGACAAAAATTAAAAGTTAATTAGAAGTCTTATTGTTGAAACAATATTCATAAATAAACATCTGGGTGTCTTATCTAACACTTTAGTTAATCTAAAGGTTAACTGGCACAGAGAGAGAAGGCTCCTTTCTCCCTATTCCAAACCTTCATTTGCTTGTGTTTTTCCTTGAAAATTTTATCAAATGGGAAGTTCCTTACTGTCAACAAAAATTAAGGCCTGGATTAAGTTACTCTCCTTTTGCCTTTCCATTATGATTCTTTTTTCCATTCATCACTAGCTGCTTTTCTGATTTGCTTACACCATTTGCTGAAATACCATTTGTTGTTGCTGTTCGAGTTTTTGATGTCTTGGGGTCGTTGTATGTTTGATAGTAGAAATTAAGAAACAGAAAAATAAAACTGATGGCATAAACAATGAGAGCCCAGTGCATCCATTTGGGGAAGGGGCAATCCGTATAAAGAGACAATGCTGTGTGTCCAATGGTCACATAGAACTGAACCTAAAAGAAAAAAGGCATAGAATAAGATTAAATTGAATGTGGACTATATCATTATCTTTTGAAAGTAACATGGTTCAATGCAAAGAGCTGACCTTGAAGTCAGGGCACCTTGGGATGAATCACAGCTCTGTTTCTACTACCTTGGTTACTTTAGGCCAGGGGTGGGACTGAAAAAGTATAGTACTTGTGCTATATTTTCCATTTTTATCAAAATTTGTTGTCTATAGCATGATTACTTAAGGCTATTCTAATTTTTTTTTCAGAATCCAGAGCTATCTTAATCTGTATTGGAGGAATAGACATAATGACCTAAAAATCTTAGTGCAGACTTCAGCTTTAATAGCTTTGGGGACTTTGGGGATAACTTATGTAACTAAAGATATAGTGAAACTCAACATTATAGTCATTTCTTACTTAACAAGGGAGAGGTAAATAAATATTTAAAATCTTTTTATGAAGTAAATGGAAATGTGACAAATTTAAGTCCTAATTAGATCTATAAAAAGATCCTGAAAATTACCCCCAAATTCCAAAATCATAAATTATGAAATTGTCATTTGAAATTATGAAATTTTTTAAAAAGCACCCACAGTACTACTTATGTTATGAGAATTAAACCACAGGTAAACTTATTAAATAATAAGTAATAATAAATAATCATTGAATTATATAAGACTAACTTGTTAGGTATTTGTAAAAAGGATTTATCGTATGCCATGTTTTGGACAAGCCTATTCAAAAGATATTATGCTTCTTCTACAGAACTGATAATAATTCTCCTTAAGTCGTGTAACTCAAGTTTTTCTCTCCTTGGGATGCTATCTTACCAAAAAAAACTCAATTTTATTCTCCTGATGTTATGAAAAGTGTATTGTGTTTGTAGTCAGAGAATATGGAGTCCAGTCCCATTCTGCTATTTACTACATTCATGACCCTTTGAAAGTCATTCAACTTCTCTGGGTCTGCTTCCTCATCTGTAAAATGATGAGGTTGAAATAGATGACTCCTAAGGATCACAGGATTTAGAACTTAAGGGGACTCGAGAAAAATTAAATTATTTCAAATGATTTCATAATTCAACAAATATTTATTAAGCATCTACTATGTGAGGCACTGTGCCTAGATTCTGAGTATACAGAAATGAAAACAAAATTCTTAAACTTCCAATGGCAAAAATCAAGATTTTTGATCGTCTCTAGTTTCACAATGATTTTCAGAACCTACATGACTGAAAAAAGGGCGTGTGTATAGGTGTGAGTGCTTATTTGTGTTTTCACAATGAGAAATAGGTATAGGTTATGAGGAAAGACATACAATCTCTACAATCCCAATTAGGATTTTGCCTTCATTTCTTTTATCCCATTACAAACTCAATATACAGACAAGTATCACAAAAACACTTGAATAATATGAAAAGCAATTTATACATCTATGAAAAACATCTCTGACACCAAAAGCATGGAGGAAAAACTACCTACAGCACTTTGGTTGCAAACAAGTCCTTCACACCCAGTATTCTGAAAAGGTTGTGTTTCCTGTTTGGTTAGCTCAGCTGTTTAGCAACTCACAGTAGAAATGAGTAGTATTTTCAGCTATGATTCCACTGATAAAATTTAATACAAGCTATGATTAAATCAAATTATAATAAATGCCAAACTTTGAAAAACAGCCATTAGGTTGATTTCTGGATTTTTTTAGTTTGACTGTGAGTATTTGCTCTGGAAAACTAAGGCTACTAGGTCCATATCCTAAGAGCAAATGACTCCAATTCCATTGGCCCAACAAGATCACCATCAAATGATTTTGGAGCAGAGATGGGCATTTTCGACAGCTAGTTTACTTATGGCATTTGTTTATTCAACAAAAATATGAAGAGTTACCGTAAGAACAAAGCATAGAGAAAAAAAACATGAATATAGATGCCAAAGTTTTTCAGTATTAAAAAAGAGAAACAACTAATATGGATTTACCATATATACATTACATATACATATATATTTCAAGAATTTAAAAAACTGGATATATTAACTTAACCCTTCTAATCATTAAAAAGGATCAAATTATCATAGATTTAGAGTTGGAAGGGAACTCAAAGGCAGTCTAGTCAAAGGCTCATAGAATCATTGATGTAGACCTGAAAGGTACCTTAGCGGACATCTAGTCCAACCTCCTCATTTCCCGAATGAGAAAATTGAGGCTCAGAGAGATTGCCTATGAACACAAAGGGAGTAAATGGTAGAGGCATGATCTGAACATAGGTTTTCTGACTGCAAATCCATGCCTACTTCTGATATAAATTCCTTGGCAGGGGAAGAGGAGGGGTATAATCTAGCCATATACATTGTTATAAATCTGATTATATCCTTTGACCAAGACTTTGGCATCCACAACAGTTTTATTTTATTTTGCTTGACTAGATTATCAATATTTATAACCACTCACTTTATTGGATATTTAAAAGTAATTGGTTTCTGCAACTATGAATTTATAATCATTGGTCATAAGTTAAAAAGCACTTTATGCTTTTTAAAAACACTTACCACACAGTTTTTAAAAAGTCTACTTTTAAGCAGGATGTCTACATTTTTGTCTCTGTACTAAGTGCCATTACTCATGAATAAAACAATTTTCTGGTGATTTTTATCATTATTCTACCCCTGCTTCTCCCTTGGCTTTGTGTGTCATGTTTATGCAATACCTCTTAGATTATCTGGTGAAGTGACTTTATTTTAAAAAGGTAGTCTTTAATTAAACCCTGAAAAAATCAAAGTATTACATGGTAGAAAACAAAAGGTTTAAGGCTTTTAAGGTTCAAAATTTAAGAACTGGAAATGGGTCACACACACAAAAAAACCTATTTAAAATGTTACAGTAAACTGTAAAGAAAAAAGTTAGTTTGGAAACAAAGTGGGAGGTGAGAAGCAATAGGTAATACTAAGAAAGAAGAAGGCACAACAAAATTAAGATGGGGGGGAACAAAGACCCAAAAGAAAAATATAGGATTACTGAGTGTTAAAATTGGAAGAGACTTTAGAAATCAATCTAATTCCCCAAGAATACAACTACTAGTCCTATCTTCCAAAGTAATAATAAAAAAAGAGGGAAAGGACTTAAGCATATATATTTATAGTAGCTCTTTTTGTGGTGGCAAAGAACTAAAGGAACGCCTATCAATTGGGAAATGGTTGACAAATTATGGCATATGAATGTAATAGAATGCTATTGTGTTATAAGAAAAAATGAAAGGTACTGTTTCAGAAAAGCCTGGGAAGACTTGTATGTACTGATTCAGAGTATAATAAGCAGAACCAGGAGAACAACATATAACAATAACAACACTGTAAAGATAAATAACTTTGAAAGACTTAAGAATTTTGATAAATATAATAAACAATCACAATTCCAAAGGACTCATAATGAAGTATGCTAACTACTTCTTAATATAGAAATGAGACTCATGGTGCAAAATAAGATATATATTTTTTGGACATAAAGAATTTTTTTTGCTTGACCCTGAATATTTGTTACAAAAGTTTTGCTTTTCTTTTTTATTTCTAAAAGGGAGGAGAAGTAGGAGGGAGAGAATATAGATATTTATTCATTGAAAAAATTAAATTAAATTTAAAAACTAATTTAATTCAATCTTTTCCTTGGACTTGTTTCCTCATTTTTAAACAGGTAAGTTACTTATCTGTGGCCACACAGATAGCAAAAGAACTAGAACTAAAGCAAAAGAACTAGAACTTTTAATTTCTATTTTGGGGTCTTTTCATTATGTCACTAAGAAAAAAACAAAAGGAAATGTAAACTAAGGGTTTTAAAATAAAGCCACATTTGATTTAGACATGGAAGACAAAAAACAATTTAGTTAGGAAGGTAAAATAGATTTGATCAGAAACTTAAAATTTAAAACAAATTATGATTATATCTATGCATATGCTTATATACACAATGTTTTCTAAAGGAAAACATTTTTATTTTAAAAATCCCAAATGCTAGTTTTGATTCTATCCTAACACATGCCTTTCAGATAAGAGTAAAAGGGAGAACTGTCCCTTAACCAACTGATTGTTTCCACCACCAGGATATGATCTGCTCATGTGTTAACAAAGTGTTAAAACTCAGTGGTTACTTTATTAAATGTGAACAATTTTCTCTGATGGAATTAGAGAAATAGCTTGTACTGGCCAGTTGAAAATTGGCTATGCCTCCAGAATGTCTTTAAAATTCAGAGTTCTCCAACACTGGAGCCAGTGCAAGATAGGACAGGGCTTGTGGAAGAGGTCCCCGTGCCTATACCTGAGGAAAGCAGAAAAAAAAGAGGATTTTTCTGTCTGCCCTCCTCTTACTGCCCATTGAACTTTGAAGTTGGGCTACTCAAGCAGAAGAAGGCCTTGCATCCAGCAATGAACACACACTTTGCATGCAGACACAGGCACAGACACAGACACAGAGAAGTAGCATCCAAATAGCTTCAAGGAGTAGGATCTCTGGCAGAAAAGAAAAGAGCCAGTGATGAACTCAAGAAAGAGCCAACTCTGGTAATTAATAGTTGAACTTTGAAGAAGTGCAGATTCTAGAAATCCAGAAAAGCAATCCACTCAACATAGAAACTGATGGGAAAGAGAGGTGAGGCTCATAAGAACTGTGCAAGGAAAGAATAACATTATGGACCTAGAGTTGTGGAGGCATGATTTAAAAACACTCTCTACATGCGAGATTTGCTATCATTGTGCTCCAATCTTGTACTCATTCTTGCCATGTACACTGTGTATATTTGTGAGAGAGTGTGCCCCAGGTTTATGGGGGAACTCTTTCATAGCTACTGTTTTTATTGTGGACTTATGAACTAAAGTTGCTGGAATACAGACTCAAAGGGTACCCTGGAACCTGTTAGTCACATGACAGCTTTTCTATGAAGACTCAAACTTTGAGTATGAATGCAAGTAGAGAAAGTAGCTCAGAGGGGGTGTTACATAAGAATAAAAAGATTTTGCATGTTTAGTAAATGTTTCTCGGCTGAAGTTGGAGAAGGATAACTATCCTAGTTAACTTTCTGAACTATTCCCTTTCTCTTATTTTTTCCATAGCATTTACTCTATAGTGTTTGTCAATTTTCCAGTGTTTTCAAAATACTTGAGAGTCTAATGTAATTAACAAGCACTATGAAATATGTGGTAATGAAAGAAATAAGAGAAAGATTCTAGTTATGAAAGTTAACTAGGATAATTACCTTTTTCTAACCAGTCAAGAAACATTTACTAAACACACAAAGCACTGTGCTTTGCACTGGGAATAAAAAAAAGATACAACACACATTCTGCTCTCAAGAAGCTTATGGTCTAATGGAGTGAACAATACATATACAGGCAACTGTTATCAAGAAGGTGTGAAATGCAAAGGAGAAATTCCTGTAAAGTGCTATGAAAATGCCTCACACTTGATATTAATTCAGTTAGCTAGCTAAAACATTATGCCATTGATTCTTAAGGTCTGTCACTTAACAGTTTCTATTATAGCTTAATGAACAAATTTATTTTCATGTTTATTTCATGAAATGCTTTTTTTTTGTTTAGAGAGAAAAGCATTATTTCTAATAGTTCAGAAGACAATAAAATGATAGTGAACATGACTATTTTGTCCAATGGCTCCGTAACAGGGAAGTAATATCTAAAGAACCTCAACTGTTGAGGCTAAAGAGATGAAAGGACTTATACTTTTTTTTTTTTAAAGATAATCTAAATCTAATTCAAACACTTTCCATTAAATAATATTCTCATTTGGTTTGCCAGAAGAAATTTAACAAATATTTTACTTACCAGCTGCAATATGGTCAAGTATCGTTTCCACCACAGATATTTCTGAATCCATGGGCCAAATGCAGTTAAGCCATAATATGAATACATAATCACATGGATAAAAGAATTAAGCTGAGCTCCGAAAAATGCTGTTGAAAAACATAAGTAATAATTATAATGTTAAAATGGTTTGTTTGATTTTTGCTACTTCTCAACCTATATGTTATAATAGCAACTCAGTCAGAACCTCTAACTGGAATTTTGTTATAAGGCTTTTTATAAGGAAGAAGCAAATTATTTTAAACATGTGCATAGAAGCTTTATTATGGATTTATTCCATATTTTAGGGTGTGTCATGGGACAGTACAAATTCAGCCTTGTCTCCTAAATTTTCTATGCACATAGAATTGTAAAATGGTAATTATCAGACCAATGTTAAAAGACTATTAAATCACTCTAACAACTTCAAATAATCTAATGTTAAATAGACTTCATTATATTTATCTAAAGGAGGAAAGTGAAAAAAGAGAGGCAGTCTAGAGTAGCAGAAATAACACTGGACCAGGGCTAAAGAGTGGCAAATAGTGGGGACCATCATCCTACAGGCGGATCTAGAGGGAGATCCAACGTGGCAGTGGTACAAATGGCCCCAGTAAAAGCAGCCCAGGATGAAGTGGGCTGATGGGTCCCCCTTCCTTCCCAAGGAGGAAGAAAAGAAAGTGGGAGAGTGACAGTGGTTTTCCCTTCTCAGCTGCTAATTCAATTAAATAATCTCTTATTTGTTAAATTTGATGGCCTTTTCTCAGTTTTCATCCTTGTTGATCTCTCCACAAAATTTGACAGTTTTACCATCCTTTCTTCCTAGATATCCTCTCCTCTCTGGGTTCTCATGACACTCATCTCAAACAGTTCTCCTTCTACCTGTCTGACTACTCCTGAGCCTCTTTTGTTGGGTCATCATCCATATCATGCCCCTAACTACAGTTGTAATAAAATATCTAACATTTGTACAAGCCTTTAAGGATTGCAAAATGTTTTACATTCATTCTTTCTTTTAATTCTTACAGAAATCTTGTAATGTAGGTGCTATTATTATCTCCATTTTATAGAAGAGGAAACTGGGGAGCTCCAGTCCCATATTGCCAACTGCCTCCTGGACATTTTGAACTAGATGTCCAACAGAAATCTTGAACATAACATATCCAAAACAGAATTCATTATCTTTTCCCAAAAACCCACCTTTCTTCCAAATGTCTCTATTTCTGTCAAGGGCACCATCATCCTTCCAGACACCTAAGTTGTTAATTTCAGCCTCATACCTGACCCCTAAGTTTTTTCACTGCACATATCCAATAAATTGCCAAGTCTTGCCAATTTTATGTCCACAATTTCTATCCTATCCGTTTTCTTCTCTTTATTCACACAGGCACCACTCCAACTGAAGCCCTCATCAACCTTTGCCTAAATTACTGCAATAGTCTCCAAATTGGTTGCCTTACCTCAAGTTTATCCCTTCTCCAATTTATTCCCCACATAGCTGGTAAAGTGGTTTACTTAAAGCATAGGTCTGACTATGTTACTGTCTTGTTCAATAAATTTTGGTGACTCCCTATTACCTATAAAATCAAATATAAATTCCTCTGTTTAGCTAATTGAAATTAGATGAAATGAATCTGCAGAAGACCCAATCAGAATAGCATGTGACTTCCTCCAAACTGCTTTTCAGCAACAGATGAGTTGGAATGATAGAGGGAATAACCACAAATTTGGGCTTGACAAGGTTCAAGTGGTGATAGGATCAGGGCACAAGAGCTTCAGAGGAAAGGACAGTGTATAGAGTTAAGAATATAAAGGACAGGATGTAAATCCTCAGCAGGAGTGATGAACTGGTAGAACAGGAATGAGCAGAGACATTAGAGGTCATGATGAAGTTTCAATATGTTTAGGAAAAAAGAGTAAGGCAGAGGGAGAGGTGGAAAGACAGGGATTTTTCAACAAAGGAGGGTTTTTCAGAGTTCATTAACACAGAGAAATGGATCTATAGCTTATGGTGAGAGCTAAGAAATTTTGTGACTGTCTGAGGTGAAGAGAAGGAGCATCTGGTACTGGATCAGGTAGTCAAAGATGTGGCTCTTTTTTGAGAAAGCTATGATATGAGGAAAGTATGAGAGGAGGAAATAGAGGATAGAAGAGAGATTGTTAACAACCCAATAGGGATTCTAAAGGATATAAAGATAATGAAAGGCAAGGGAAAATAAACCCAGGGAGGACTAAACTACATGGGGATGAGTTTGCACAATAACAGAAGCTTTCATCTCAGCAGAATGCAACTTTGAATCACTGTAACAAGGAGAATAGGTGGTAGCAATATGTGGTAGAAGAACCTAGAGCCCTCTTCACACTTAATCTTGAATACATATTAGAAAATATTTGGAAAGATAATACTAAGATAAAACCCTCCCCCTAAGAAGCTTTAACATTTGAAATTTGATAACAGACAAAATATGTGGTTATCAGCTATTTTAAATAAGAATGGTCTAATTTTCTGATGGAGATGCATGTGATTTTCAAATGTTGTGAAACAATTTTTCTTTTCTTTTTTCCTCCTTCCTTCCTTCCTATCTTTCTTTCTTTGTCCTCCTCTTCCTCTTCCTCCTTCTGGATTAGACATCTGACTTTATTGTTACAGAGAATTCTCTGGGAAGAAACTTCATCTACCAATGCAGATTTGCACCTGTCCTATAACATTCTTTGAAAGATGCCTGGAGACACTGAAAGGTCTAGGGATTTGTCTAGGGTCACAGAGTCAGTATGTGTCAGAGGTTAGACTTAAATCCAGTTTTTTTCTCTCATTCTAATACTGTCTATCCACCATTGCACATTCCCTCCCATATTTTATTATTTGGTAGTGAGAGGATAAAGGTATAATATTTTAATCAAAATGTGAATTTATAAATAGTGTAAGGTCTCCATCAAAACTAAAACACCAGCAAATAGACTAGTAAACATGTAGGTAGACAGATTTGGTTAAGTGTTTTATTTTAATACCACCAGGGATAAAATTACCAGTGCAGACTATTTTAGCAGCAAGGAAGTTTTATGAATATTCTATAGCTTCTCCTTAGTAAATACCTGAAATTAAAATGCAGACATAATTTAAAATAACTAATTTGGGCATTTATGTAAATGAGGAAATGGACTTAGATTTTCAATTCCATGCAAAAAATATTTTTAAGTCATGCCATTTTGGTGTTAACGTAGAAAAAAAAATTGTTCAATAATGTTCATGGCCTTATCTCTTGAACTCCAAGAATAAAGCTAATATTATATGAAACGTTTGCTTGTTTAAATGGAATCAACACATTTACTTTAAATAAAACTTTTCAAAATTAATTCATGTATGAATTAAATTTACTATTCTCTCACCAATTATAATAGAATGACAAGAAAAAAGTAGAAATAACTACACTATTTACCCTATCCCTTTATGTTCTGAAGACTATACCACTTCAGGCCTACACACCTTCATGCAAACCAAGAGAGACTTGCAGACTGCAGTCTGTCACAGTCCCAGGTGGTTTGGTCTTTCTCTGACACATTCTCAATTCATCTGATCCTCAGAAGATTAGAGCAGTTCTTGGGGTCACATTAAAAGTTTAGAAGCTTTTTAGAATTGGTTTACGTTACTAATCTGGATAATGTCTTGATTCCAGATATTCAGGGTGGGCCCAAACCAGTTTAAGAAAAGATATGAACCTACACAGCTGACCTGGGGGACTTCAGACTGAGGATATAAATCTTGGTATCCTTTTGAGACTGATGCACTGGAAGGGCACCAGGACCGAAGGTTCTTAGAACAGAAGAATCAGAACAGAAGACCCTTAGGCATATGTTGCTCTGAGTCTGTACAATGGGATACAATCTTCCAATAGCTAGCGAAAGGGGCACAGCGCAAACAGTTCTTGACCATGTGGTTTTTCTCTTTGGTGTTGGACTGATCAACTGACATGTCTATAAGCTGGTAAGTGCCACATTCACATAGACCACCAATTCTCCATTACTTTCCTTAAGAAAATTCATGCAAAATTCATATATTTCATGCAAATATGTTGATTTCCTCCACTCACTGAAAACTTTTTTTTTGCTTTTTGGTGAGGCAATTGGGATTAAGTGACTTGCCCAGGGTCACACAGCTAGTAAGTGTCAAGTATCTGAGGCTGGATTTGAACTCAGGTCCTCGTGACACCAAAGCCAGAGCTCTATCCACTGCACCACCTAGCCGCCCCTGAAAACTCTTTAAAATGCTCACCTTGTCCTCCTGCCACCCACTTAATGCCAATCCACCACAATGTAAACATAGTACAGTGATGATACACATGAAGGAAAGATACTTGGTTGTTTTTCTTCCTCAGGATGAAAAATACTGTATCCAAATACTCAACTCCTTTCGACACAAAGTACCACCACAGAGCCCCAGCTATCTGCAAAAGGAGGAAGATAACATGTTTATAAACACAAAACACCATAATGTAACTACACTTCTTTCAAATAATTCTATGATTATTACGTGATATGCTATGGATGCTCTGAGCATTATACAATATACAAAAGCTTATTTCCCTCAAAAGATTTGCTGTAAAAATATTTATAGCATGATACAAAGATTAATAATCAGGTCTAAAGTTGGATGAACACAATGTTAAAAGAACATTTCATTCTGCCAGGTATCTGGATGTTTTCTCTGTACAATGCTAAATGCCTGAATATAAAACAAAATGAAAAATAATACAATTTTCTCAAGCTCTTTGGCCACACTTTTCAATGATTAATATAGAAATTTACCTTAAATTACTACAGAAATTTAAATCTTAACTTTCTTTGTAAACATGTAATTCAAGTACATCTGCCTAGCACACATCATAATAAACATACTTTACATACATGCACTTTATCATAATATAGATACTATATCATAATATAGACACTTTGGATAAATATACTTTAATACAATATATGGTCTTTCAAAAAAGATTTCAGCAATTAAGAATCTAATGGAAATGGTTTGTATAAGTTGAAACCAGAGTCGATAACCACTAGCAACAATATACTGTGTGCTTTATAGTTTACTTTATATATTTTTATATACAATATTTTATTTGATTTTTACAATTGCCCTCTCAGGTAAACAAATGTTAGTAACCTCATTTTGTACATAGAGATAACACAGCTGATAATCTGAGCTAGGACTCAAACCTAGGAATTTTGAGTCCAATTCCCGTGCTCTTTTTTCAATATAGCTGCCACCAAAAGGTTGCAGTATATGCTGATAATTAGATATGTCTGTGGTTCCATTGGTGTGCATATTCCCTTCAATCATATATTCATAACATTAATAACAGATTCTTCAATAAATCTGCCACAAAAAGTACCACCAATATTCTGGAGATCTTCCTCTATAGCCCCTAACTTTGTATAGATACCAATAAAGAAGGTGTGCTATTTTTTTAATCACTATGTACTCAGACCATCTTCCCCCTCCCCCAATCTTACATTCATCTGATGATTTACTTTACATCGCCTTTTCTCCACACCTTCATTTGTAATGTATTTCAGTCTGCTCATGCCTACAATTTTACTCCATTGCCTTTAAGTAATCCTAAAATTTAATTCTTCAGAGACCATTGTGCTCTATGACATGTATCCATAAAATAGCACTACGAGAATTTAAATGTTAAAAACTATGAGCCTTTGTCTCAAGCAGAATCTTTGAGTCATTGAAATAACTACATAATTTCCTACAGGCCATCCAGTCCATTTTTTTTATTGCTGTTTAAGGGGAAGTTTTTGATTGATTAGAATTATCACCACAGACAACACTTGGTTTTGCCCAGGACTTTTTTTATTGAATATATTTTTTAATGAGCATTCAAAGCCATGACCTCCAAATAATTTTTTTTCTCACAAAGGTGACATTTAACTTTCTACCAGTTCTTCCTTTTCTGGACACAAATATTTAAACTCTGACTAATGATTTTCTTGGGTTTCTTTTCTGTGTAAAGTTTCATGAGTGTTAATTTTAGGATGGATTTTGAGCCTTATTCTCCCCTAAAAGGTCTTTGTGATAGTCATATTAGTCATATGAGTTTTGCATATTTTCTGATTTCTATAAAAAAAGAATGTTGTTTTGATTGTCTGCCATACTACACACACACACACACACACACACACACACACACACACAGTTTTTCCTTCTACACGGGCTGTAATCAGGGCTGTTCTCTGAATGAAACATTGCCATGTGGTTTGCATTTATGGGGTTTTCCCCCTACATAAAGCCTGTTTCTTAGTGAGATGAACTGTACCAAATGATTACATTTATAGGGTTTTTCTCTCTCTGTAGTCTATAGATGTGTATAAAAACTTATAGATATATATAAAACTGTATATGCATTTAAAAAGTTAGTTGATATCTGAATTCAATTTCATATCAATATATTTATAACATTTTTCTCCCATATGCATCCTTTTATACTTAGACAAACTTGATATATATTTTAAATCTTGTCCAATGATCACATTTATAGGAATTTTCCCAGACAATAGATTCATAAGAATCAATTTACTCAATACTCTCAAAATCGTATTGCTTCCAGCAAGAAACCTGGTCTAGTCAATCTGCTTTCTCTAATACTATCTCTGTTTCCTCATATAGTAAATCCAGGACTATGATATTAAAGTCCAAATATAATGTCTCTACTATCATTTGTAGCAAAAAGAGTATGTCATATAAATCTTTACAGATGTTTTATATTTTTCATCTGTTGTGCTCCTTCTAATTTTATCCTTAAATGCCCTCAGTATGGATCTTTCATCAAGAATTCTTTAAACTTGTTTTCTCCTTTACTTCTTTTTTGTGGTTTTATGAGGTGATATTATTCATGATTTTCCAAAATTTGCCTTTAAGTTTATATTCTAAACTGGTATTGTTCTTAGCTGATATCTCTCTCTATTTGACAAGGAGATCAAGTGGTTTATTACTAGCTCTTTTGGCTCTTCATGGTAATTGAATTAAATTGTTTAAATTTCCTTTGGAAATTATTATAATCTATGTCAATATCTGTTCATTAATTTTCCATTTTTCAGTACCAATAACCTATTTAAATAGGTCAAGTTGGAGTTGCCTAATTATACATCATATCCTTTTCTCATTTCTATTCTTTCTTCCTTGTATAGTTTTTTTTTTTTGCTCTAACAAGTAAGTGGTCTATTCAGGAATGATTCCCACTTCAATAAATATAACTTCATTTTTTGTTATTGTAATATAGTATTCATCATAACCAGCACCTACCAACTCTGTTCCCTCAGGAACAATTTATAATAGTCAGTCAATAAACATTTATTAAGTGACTACTATGTCAAGCTATGTCAAGCACTGTGCTAAGAACTGGGGATACAAAAAAGAAAAAGGTACAAGGCAGTCCTTAACCTCAAAGAGTACACAATCTAATGGGTGAAGACAACATTCAAAAGGAAGCTGAAAAGTAGGAGGGGGCGGAGCAGGGAGAAGCAGCAGTACCAAGTGCTGGGCCATAAGGAAGTCCAGAGAAGTATAGCCAGGTGGGAAATGAAGAGATGGCTAGCCTGAGTACCTTCCTTAAATGGAGGTTCTCTGAGGGGCTCTCCACTCTATACCCCCACTTCCTCCAATCAGAGGGATGGAGGAGCTATAGGGGTAAGAGATACTGAAGCAATGTAAGTTCTAGGGTTGATGCAATCTTGCAGCATGATAAAGCAGATAAACATGAGACTCTACACAGTATGGAGGACTTCGGCCTCTCAATTTTTACTCTCAATCATAATTTCAATACCTTCTTTTTTTGCCATTCTCTTCTATGCCTATCTTTGCATTAAAACTATTAAGTATCAAAGAATATGTTGATTTAATTTGGAGGGCTTTACCTAGTTCCTCATAGAATTTCTCTACCACATAATCTTTTTTAAAGAGATGTAAGTATATAAGTTGCTATTATTTTCGTAGTAATTTTTTGCCAATGCGTATTACAAGCCCTACAATAGGAGGTAATCAAATATTCCATGAAATTATGTTATTTGTTGCCTCTACATGGAATAAAACCAACTCTCATTTTCTTCTCTAAAGAGAATCTGTGAGCTTTCTTTCCATTTAACTGTAACTTTCTCTTGTCTTCTGGTTTCACTGATGGTGAGAACATCAAAATTAATAGCATTTCATTTCCTCCAGTAGTGTGTCAAGTGTTCACTGAACAAGTATCTCACATTTAGAGAACCAACAGGCAAGTTAATGGCTACATACAGTAGAAATATTGTGATTCTTAGCACCCTCTGCCCTGCTTTCCACTACAATGCCACAATCATTGGGAAAACAACAAAACAGGAGGAAGTAGCTGTATAGAAATGAAGGTCATTTTATATTTTTCCTTGTTTCATGGGATACCATGGTCAAAGAATTTGGATAAGCTATAATTTGTTAGGCTCATCCTACCATACTATGGTAAATATTTTCCAAGTTGTGGATATGATCCTTGTTAAATAATGTAGGGTGTTTCTTTTCTCTACCTTGTGCTCTCATTAAGCCCTATTAAGACACCAGATGGTACAGAAAGATTACATTATAGTCTAAGATTAAGAGTCTAGTGAGAGGTGACCTCTGTAATATTTTTAATTTTTTAAATGAAACAAAACATAATCTTTTCTGAAAAAAAAACATTGTAATCTAATATTATTTTTCCTGTCAAGTGCTTATAACTTTAAGTAGATGATGCAATATGAAAAGAACATGAAGTAAACATTAACAGATTTTAAACTAGTACATAAGTAAAATCTGTTTTTATCCTGTGGCTATTTAGGAGCTTGACACAGATTCTTTCATATTCAGGCTTAAGTGTTTAGATTTGTAAGGTCTCATGTAGTATGCCTATATTTGTTATATGTAAATGAGATAATTCTTTGTTTGAAAACAGTTAAAATTTAAAGTGCAAAAACATAAATCGATATATAAAATCAAAGAAAAATATCTATTCAGGGCTCAAGATTACTTACTGTAGAGTTTAAGTGCTTAAAACATACATGAAAATGGTTGGGGGGAAAGGCTTTAAACAAACTAGTTACAGTAAATCTATACTTTAAAGATTCCCAACATTACATTATTTAAAGATGTTTGGACGTGATCATTGGTCATAAGTAAGCATTGTCCAGTTGGTAACAAGTCTTCAGATCTACTGTTATACTCTTGTTTAACACTGGACTATTCCCATCTAATATGAGTAATTCCTATACTTGTTTGTACACTACTCTTGGAATCATCAAATTTGGTGGGGAAGTAAAAATTTATTTGATTGGTCACAGTTATAGAAATGATTTCCAAAATAATTCTCTGAGTAAAATTAATTCCATTTTGTCTAAGTAAATAAATTGCAATCACCGCATATCTTTGAATAACCAA